GGCTCGGCGCAGCCCGCTGACCTGGGCGCCCACAAGCGCCCGGCGTCTGTGTCGAGCAGCGCGGCCGCGGAGCACGAGCAACGCGAGGCGGCGGCCAAGGAGAAGCAGCCGCCGCCGCCCTCGCACCGCGGCCCTACCGACAGCCTGTCCACTGCGGCCGGGGCCGCCGAGCTGGGCCCCGAGGGCGCGGGCAAAGGCCGCGGGCCCGGAGAGCAGGACTGGGTCAACAGGCCCAAGACCGTGCGCGACACGCTGCTGGCACTGCACCAGCACGGCCACTCGGGGCCCTTCGAGAGCAAGTTTAAGAAGGAGCCGGCCCTGACTGCAGGCAGGTTGTTGGGTTTCGAGGCCAACGGGGCCAACGGGTCTAAAGCAGGTAGGGGCGGCTGTGGAGTGAGGGGCTCTAGGGGAGACAAGGGGACGGAGAGCAGAGGAGGGGGTGCTCTTTCCATTCACCGTTCTGCCCTAGCCCAGAAACAACAAACACCCAACTTCCTGATCTGCCTGAGGCGGAACCAGTGCTTAGTGGCAACGTGTTCATGTGCTGAAGCAGCATAACAGAGATGAGTCAGACTAGGCTGATAGGCACTGACACAGGGTTTTCCTTTCCCAGCACATTCTTGGATGGGAGCATGAAGGCACCAGTCACCTTTTAACCTGTTGGGGGACGTTAGCAATCATATGCACAGTTCAGTCTGGGTATATGCATGCGTGTGTTAAAACAGGAGATTACATACGTGCCATTTTCGGTAGCTTTTTTTTTTTTAAGTGGTATACTGCTTCAGAGCCTCATGAGTCTAAGCGTTTTAAGTTGCACGTGCACTGGAAACTCGTGTGTTTTTATGTACAAGTTTTTAGAGAATAGAAATTGTTTAGTGAGTTTTGTTTCATATTAGTAAAAGAAATATATGTTTTAGTGCGTGTTCATTTATTTCCTCTTGTTTTCTTTTATTTCTTTGATTTTCCAGTTGCGAGAACAGCAAGAAAAAGGAAGCCTTCTCCAGAACCAGAAGGTGAAGTTGGGCCCCCTAAGATCAATGGAGAGGCACAACCGTGGCTGTCCACATCTACAGAAGGGCTCAAGATCCCCATTACTCCTACATCCTCTTTTGTGTCTCCACCACCACCCACTGCCTCACCTCATTCCAACCGGACCACACCGCCTGAAGCGGCGCAGAATGGCCAGTCCCCAATGGCAGCCCTGATCTTAGTAGCAGACAATGCAGGGGGCAGTCATGCCTCAAAAGATGCCAACCAGGTTCACTCCACTACCAGGAGGAATAGCAGCAGTCCACCCTCTCCGTCCTCTATGAACCAAAGAAGGCTAGGCCCCAGAGAGGTGGGAGGCCAGGGGGCAGGCAGCACAGGAGGACTGGAGCCAGTGCACCCTGCCAGCCTCCCGGACTCCTCTCTGGCAGCCACTGCCCCCCTGTGCTGCACCCTCTGCCACGAGCGGCTTGAGGACACCCACTTTGTGCAGTGCCCGTCCGTCCCTTCGCACAAGTTCTGCTTCCCTTGCTCCAGACAAAGCATCAAACAGCAGGGAGCTAGTGGAGAGGTCTATTGTCCCAGTGGGGAAAAATGCCCTCTTGTGGGCTCCAATGTCCCCTGGGCCTTTATGCAAGGGGAAATTGCAACCATCCTTGCTGGAGATGTGAAAGTGAAAAAAGAGAGAGACTCGTGACTTTCCGGTTTCAGAAAAACCCAATGATTACCCTTAACTAAAACTGCTTGAATTGTATATATATTTCCATATATATATATATATATATATATCCAAGACAAGGGAAATGTAGACTTCATAAACATGGCTGTATAATTTTGATTTTTTTGAATACATTGTGTTTATATTTTTTTTTTGACGACAAAAGGTATGTACTTAAAGGCATTTTCTTCTTTTGTTAACGTTATTAGCATATCTTTGTGCTTTATTATCCTGGTGACAGTTAACGTTTAATGTAGGCTGTGACTTGCGCTGCTTTTTTAGAGCACTTGGCAAATCAGAAATGCTTCTAGCTGTATTTGTATGCACTTATTTTAAAAAGAAAAAAAAAAGCCAAATACATTTTCTGACATTGTAAGATTGCCTTACTGTCTGTTATTCCTTATTGCTGGCCCCTTTCTCAGGCTGGAGGCCAATTGGTGGAGAAGGAAAGGAAATGAGTGAAAGGGGCACTGTTGTGAAGTGGGCATGCCACTGGGAAAAATCACCAAGTTGACCCCAAAATATTGTCCTTTTAGAGTAATAGGAAAATAGATTTTGAATCTTTCTCTATTTTGTTCTTAAAGTTCAGTTGTTGGGATTTTGATGACTGCCTACGAGTTGCTGCTGAGAGATTTTCAGGACTGTGTGGTTTTTTGGAGGGGATTTTTTTTTTTTTTAAGGCAAAGTTGACCACTGTTCACTGCCCACGTGATCAGTTGTAAGATTACAATGCTGCATGCTAGTTGGTTACATAATACACAATTCAGTGACGGAAGGCGGTGATAATGGATGGTGGTGTGTACAAGATGGCACTGCCATCTTTGAACAGAGCCTGGCTCTGCAGCGCCACTTCATCTTTTTAAACACCCTAGAGCTCTGTTTGTTGTTGCTGTTGTCATTTCCTTTGGAAAAAGTCTCAAGAGAAGTTACAGTCCAGGTGAACTTGGAGATTGTGGGATTGGTTTTGTTTCTGTTTTGTGTTTTGTTTTTTTATCATTTACCTGTAGTGCTATTGCTGTTCATACTATCACCTGCACCCGTTTCTAGTGAGTGCTAAATACAGTATGGTACAATGACAGGAACAGCGCCCGGTGCTGCCAGGACTGCCCGTGGGCATATCAGTGACAGCCCAAATGGGGGTGGAGGAAACCTGTAATTTCCTTCTTACATGTGTTTGAAATACCAAGTGAATAATACTGTTCTTCTGGAAAAAAATTATGAACTAGTGAAAATTAAAGAGTTTTACGTAATAGGCCCCACCTCTCAAACTATTTTTAGAAGACTTTTGTAAACTAATTTTTTTGATCACTATTTTGCATCAGTTAAATGATTTTTTTAAACCAATAAATCATCAGTTATTAGAAATAGTTGTCTCACAGTGATACTGGTTTTTCTTTTGTGCTGTTATGATTTAACATTGACAGGAACACTATTTTAAATCCTTTTATGTTCAGGTGTTTGTAACTTGGCCCTATAATTAGGCTGAATCATGGCTTCAAGGTCTACTACAACTTATGTGTATTGTTCACAACCTAGCTTCTATTTTAATTTGAAAATGTAGATTGTTACCCACTTTGGATTCTTTTTAGTTATGTTTTTGTCTTTCTTTTTTTTAAATTGCTCAAATATTTTTTTAATGGTCGAGTTATTAACACTTGAAAATCAGATACTGCACCAAATACAGTATTTTTTTGTAGTGTTTTAATGAGTGCACCTACTATTAATGCTGTGCAAAGTCACATTACCAGTCATTGTTATATTCCAAACAGACTTGCATGATTAACCAGTATGTTGTTACACTTTTATTTTTTAAATTGGAGTATCTATGAGTCAGATCAGATTGGTTTCTGTTATGTAAATGCACACATGCAGAAACACAGAGTCAATTTTACATGCCCATAAAGAGATTTGTAAAGAATTCAACTATTATGGTTTGTTGTATAAATGCATATCTAGGCACTTTATTATAAACTGGAATTTGACCTCATAGATGCTACAAGTTGATCTGTCATTTGAGCTAATTTGTGGTGGCTATCTGTATGTTTTGCAATCTTAATACAGATAAGCTTTCCAAAAGGATTAAAAAAGAAACATCTTGCTGTTTTGAATAAGTTTATCCAGCTGTGGAAAAGACAACCTATGGTTTCTCTGCGCTGGTATAGGGGGAGAAGATGAACAGCTTTAAAGGCCTGTGTGTTGAGGTTACTCCTATTAAAAAATAAGATCTGCAGGAGTCTGACTGGCCCTTGGGTGGCCTTCGTGGAAGGCTTGCAAGCTGGAAAGTGTTGGTCTGGGTTATTTTTCTGGCATTTCCTTAGTTAAAAAGTTAACATTGGGACATGGGTTTGATCTTTTGTTGTACCTGATGACAGTGCAGAGATTCTCCACAGCTGGATAAAAATGTCAGAAAGCTACTTACTGTACATGGGCAGTATCAGATTTCAAATCCTAATATTTCAGCTGTGCTTTAATACTCAAAATATCAGGGGATGGGGTGTTGAAGCTTTCCCTTTTTTACTTTAACAATTTATAGAATTTAACAGATGTACTGTCTTTCATGTGGCCTCACATTAAAAGTTATGAGACCGTACACATGGTTTACAACTTTTACTATATACCTTTCCTTGGCCACCAAGTATTTTAAAAGTGTGCCACCTTTTAACCTTTACTTTTTTTTAAGTTGAAGGTGATACTTTTTCTATATATGATGAAAGTCATGTCAACTGAAGTGAGTGTAATCTCAGATATCAACATTATTATATTTTAAAATCACGCTATGGAAATATCACCTGCATTCTGTCATTTGTCAGATTTATAGTACCTTTTTTTTCATTTAACTTTTAGCATTAAATAAAAATAAAATTGGGAGCACTGAACATTTTCTGAGGCCTTTTTTAATTTTTTCAAGTAAGCTTAGAATGGCTATTGTTTTCATCACTAATGGCAATGTCACTGAAGGATGTGTGGGTTTGGGGTTGGGGTTTGACTGGAACTGCAGGAGAAGAACAGGAGATAAAAGACAGGGAACAAAATGGCAACTGATGGTAGACAGAAAAGTGCTAGGGCCTGGGGAAAGGGCAGCTGGAGAGGGGAAACAGATAAAGAGAAGAGCTGAACCGAGTGCAGCCAGAAAGCACTTGTTTATTTGTCAACGTGCAGTAGAGCCAGCCATTCTGCAATAGTAGATTGGAAGGAGGAGATAGTGACGACACTGAAAAGACTGTCAAGGCATGGAGCTGCTCGCTGGAAAGCTTTGGAATAAAACAGCCATGTTGGCCCATATGAAATGCACTGAAGACAAAAGAGAAAAAAAAGCCTACCCTTTGGAATAAAGTCAAAGCCATGTGTGAGCTTTATTGATGTCCTGAAACTTACATTTATAAATAGAGATAGATATAAGGTAGAAAGCACCGAGATATGTTTACAAAGTACTGTCTACTATCACACAGTAAGAAATTTCCTAGATGTTTGCAGCTTTTACTCTGTATCGATCAATGGCTTGGCGGACTTCTCTGTGAAAGGAAGTTGTAAAACTTACCAAGGGTTTGAGGATAAGGGTATTCATAATATGTTTTAAATTAAATGGCAACAGTTAAAGTGTAGTTGAATATATTTTCATTAGGGGTGGTCCAGTAACTTGGGATACCTATCACTATATGTATTTTAACATTTTTTTTTTATTATTAGTAGCCTGTTTAAGGCAGTTTTCAAGAAACAGTATTCTTAATAAGTTAATTATAGATTATAATGCACAACATGATGTTTCATTTAATAATTAGGTTAAAAGAAATGATAAACTTCGTTTAACTTAAAAATGCTAAATTTTACTACTAGTGAAATTTAAAATAGTGCAGCTTGCAGAAGTCATTTTTAAAATTTCAAAAGCTTCTCCCAAAGTAAACTTTAATGATTGCATTCAGTTTCCAGTTAAAACCAAACAAACCAGACTCTTGATGTGGCAGATGTCTTTGTTTATTCCCCAAAGAGAGGAAAAGTTAAAGGGAAAATATGGAACTTAGGTTAATTCCTAGACTTTTAAGTCCCTCATTACTCAAAGTTGTTTTGCATATGATTTATAGATGGTTTTATTTGGTTAGCGAAGAGTAAAATGTTTCTCTTCCTGATTCCAAACTGTATACGTGGAATCATTCAGAAAAATGTTCAGTCTCGTGTGGGCCGCTAGAAGTCCTGAGTCACCCTCATTTGCTTGCCTTTTCTTCATAGGGAACAGTGTAAGAAGACACGCCTTTCCTCTGTCACAGACCAAGGTCAGAGGCACCAATGAATGGATACATATTTACCTACATCATCTGGGGTTCTAGAAATGAAGGGGGGTGGGAATGTTATTTTAACTCCTTCAGTGCCACTGGTTAGACCTCTGACAGCAATAGTATTGATTACAATACAGTTGATTACAATCTAAAAATTATGGGTGTGACTTCACAGATTATTAACTGTCTAGATCCCTTGTTGCTGTTTCTGTTGATAAGCCTGCATTTTCCTCAAGAGTTATAAACCCCTCACAGTAATTTAAAAGGCACAAAAACATACAAAAAGTCAATTTGTAAATTATTTAAGAGATTGGAAGATGGAAAATGACTGGAATTATGGATTATCTAGGTTTCTCTATTAATCCCCAGATAAATCCATAATTAGGGATATCCACACTATCTCTATTTATCATTAAGTTAATTTGTACCTAATTTAACAGTGAACTTTGTTTTAACCCATCAGTCTGTTACCTCCTCCTTCCCCATGTCAATACAGCTTAACATGCTTGATTTAAAACAGCTTTTCTTTGTTAATTTGAGGTATAACTTTTTTTTTTAATTATAGAATATGAAATCTACAGCTGCACTGGTCCTTATCACAAAATATTGTGCACCTCTACATGGCACTGAGCAGCATGAAACAATCCGTACAAGCCACAGAAAAGGATTTTAGGGCAAAAAGTATACCATAGGCAATTCATTATTTAGAATCAGTTAGACATTGGGTCTCAAAGCTGTTCTTTCATTTTGATTCTGAAAAACAATTGAGTAAACTCTCCTTAATAGAACAACCCTATTAAAATGGTATAAATAGTTTCTTCTATAATACAGTCTTAAATATTGCTTTGAAAAAATGTAGAATAGCCCTTTAAAAGTATAACGTCGCCAGTGCGCGTAAAATTTATCACAAAATCAGCCAGACAATCCTCTAGGAGGTGATTTTCTCCTAGGTCAGACAAGGTCTGGAGACACGACTACGGGATTCCTGGTTTAAATTGCAAGCATCAGCGCACTGCTTGATCTCATCTTTTGAATGGGCTTGAGAAGTGAGATTGCATAATCTAAAGAGCCTCCTCCAGCAATTCAGCAGAAGCCCTTGATGCCGAGATAAGACATCCTGTATAGAGTAATAATGTCACATTTGAATATTGCTAAATATAGTTTATATTCTGGGGAAAATGAACTGTTATATAATGTATAGATCCCATCACTTAACACTTTTACTTAGCAATTATTTTATTTATATTATTACCATCGGTTAACATTCAGATGCCCATGAGTTCAGGCATCATGTACGACAAATGAGTCATGTTTTGTAGTATAGGTACTCAGGCAGCAACTTTAGCAGATAAATATTTAGGTCATTGCATATTTCTCTGCCATTTAGAAAACATCTTTCCTATGACAGTTCAAATAGACTGTTTTAAACTGTGAATGTGGCTATTTATATCTCCAGGAAAAATAAACCCAGAAACATTTCACCAGAACTAAGGGCCTAAATTTGTTTTAATGTATAGAAAGAGCTTATTAAAAGTGAGCCTCAAATTACCAAGCTTCACCTTCTTTTATGGTATTTTAAAATACTAACCATTCTAGTAACAACTCTTACTATTACGGGTGTGAATAAATCAGCATTTCTTTACACACAGCCTTGGCTTCAGGCCTTCCATGTTCTCCGAAGCCTCAGAGACTGTGTGAGCTGCGAAACAGAACGTGTCTGTTGCGTGCCTTACCTTGGGCTAAAAGTCTCTTACCCCTGTTTTGTTATTTCTGCCTCCAAACGGCAATTCAATTAGCTTTTTTTGATGATAAAAGATAAAGATTTATTGTACTCCATACACAATTGAAATCAGAATTTCACAGGAGAAGTCACAGTCATTAGAGAAGTTCTGGAATACTGTTCTCTTAACAAGCACCATATGGGTTGTGGCTGTTATTATTTAACACCTATTAAGTAGGCACATCATTCCAGGCTTTGAACAGCTGAGAGTCTAGGCCCAGATTTCTTGGAGCTGAAAGTTTACGCCCCAGGTAGGGAAAGTTAGTTTGCTTGAATGAGGGCACGCACTGACAGGAGTTAACCAGAGTTGGTTTCCTTCCAGAGTTTGGAAAGTATAGTTAGGGACGAATTCTTACATGGAGAACAGAGTCTCTTGCTAGAACTTATATCCGGTACCTCGGTAGGATTTTGACATAGGAACACAGTCCTACGTCGCAAGTGCTTTTTCACACAGTAAGTTCATTATGCCCAGCATGCAACCAGCATGCGTGAAAGGGGCGGCTGGACCCCATTATCTTCACACAAATCAAGAGGCCGATTGAAAACATCAGGGCTACGTCAGAATTGTCAGAGTGTAGCCTTTTCTTTTTTACTTTTTATTGTTGCTCAGAATGGCGTTTTTTAAAAGGAAGAAAACAGCGGCCAGCTCTGCCAAGCCCTGTTTACTCGAGGGGAAGGAAAGGGGAGGAGGCGCCCTCACTCTCTGGCCGCCTGCGTAAAGGCCTTCGCCCACGAGGAGACCTTGCTGTGGTTTCCAGCGCGGCACCCTGACTCAACGCCGCGCCCGTATTTATTTATTCTAGAACTTTTCACCGGGCCGCACCGCTCGGCGCACACGCCTGGCCCGGAGCAGCGCCTTCTCCCCGCGGCCCGCTCTGCGCACGTGGAGCCGGGCAACCCGAGGCGGCGG